GAGAGAAACGGAACACAAACGACACACAAGAATTTAACGTGGTTCGGTTTCCCTAATCCACGGCTGCAACAGGAGGATTTTCTTATTTCACTTGTGGTGCCGATTACAAGTACAAGTATGCAATATATATAGGAAGAGTGCATCTAGGGTTTCGTAAAATGGGCCGGGCCAAAAGTCAAGCCCAAGCCTCCACAAACCCAACATTCTCCCACTTGGAGGCTTGATAGTCATCAACTGCCATCCACCACGATTGCCTGTACATCGAGTAATCTTCCTCAGCTCTCCTGTTGCAGCGGCCCTATCATCAGACAACTGAAAGGCCCGTTGAAGCTCTCCCAAGCTCCAACACATCAGTCACGGCAAAATCTGCCCCTGACTCGTCCTCGGTCCCTACCGGCTCCCACTGCAGACGCACACTGCCAGATCCTGGAACATCCTGAGAACAATCTTCGTACTCAGCAAGAAATTTTCTGGAGATGTTCCAACAGCTGGAATACTGGTTCTCCTGACCCACTGTCTTCTAGGCAACTTGGCTGAAGTGCCACTTGAGCTCCCACTGCCACAAATACCTCTGACTGGCCCCCTTGAACCTTTCCACGCTCGTTCATTCTGAGTCTGACCTGTGGCTCTAGGTTTCTCTCTTGCATAGACAACCTTATTCTGCCCACAAGACTCTGTGAACCGGACTTCGTTTTTCTTCTGAACTGGGACGGTCACTCCCTCAGATGGTAACTCGACCATATACAACGAACCTCTCTTCCTTCCACGGGCCATGACAAGATTTCCCTTCACGACCTTCCACTGCCCATCTCTGAACTTCACCTCGTGTCCGTGTTCGTCCAACTGCCTGACAGAAATCAAACTTTTCTTCAAGGCTGGAACAACTCTGACATCCTTCAAAGTCCAGAAACCGACTGGGGTCTTCAGCACTATGTCACCCATGCCCGTCACATCAAGAGCACTGTCATCCGCTAGTCGTACCTTTCCAAAGTCCCCAACAACTAGATTCTGCAATGCTTCACCGCTGTGGGTAGCATGAAATGAAGCACTAGAATCCATGACCCAGGAATCCACATTGCTTTCTTCACAGCGAGTCAGAGCGACCTCCTCGTCACTCGCAGAGCCTTGAGCAATGTTTACTTTCTTATCATTCGGACATTGATTCCTAAAATGCCCTACCTCCTTGCACTTCCAGCACGTTACACCTGAGCTGTCACGAGTCTTCGACTAACTCCTTTGTCTGTTCCTGCTCCCACTACCTCTACTATATCTTCTGCCTCTACCAGCATGAAGCAATTCACCAGATGACTCCCTTGAACTCTTTCTTCTGACATTCTCACCAAGAACGAGATCTCGAATCTGATCAAAGGTGAATCCATCGGGTCCCACTGAACCGGTAACTGCTGTAACCGTTCCGGACCAACTATCAGGTAAAGACGATAGCAGTAGCAAAGCTTGAACTTCATCATCGAACTTAATGCCCACTGACAAAAGTCTGGCTAAGATCGAATTCAACTTGTTGATATGCTCGGTAACTGAAGTGCCTTCTTTCATTTTTGTGTTCACCAGCTCTCTTATCAGAAAAACTTTATTCGCTGCAGATGGCTTCTCGTACATGTTACACAGCGCTTCCATAATTCCCTTCGCTGTCTTCTCCTTCAGAATGTTGAACGCAACATTCTTGGTCAACGAGAGACGGATCACGGACATTGCTTTCCGATCCAAACCTGCCCAATCTGCATCCGACATCTTTTCTGGCTTGTCACCCAAAACCACATCCAAATCTTTCTGAACCAGCAAATCCTCAATTTGCATCTTCCACCAACTGAAATCTGTACCATCGAACTTCTCAATTCGGAACTTCCCATCTTCTGCCATCTCAAATGACTAGACGAGATACCCAGTACAACTAATTTCAGATCTTGGTATTTTTTTCGTCAGAAAATCATGAACAAGACCACTTCTCACGAATTCCAAATCAAACAGGCCCAAATTAAAAACACACGCCCAAGGGGAAAAAGACAAGTGGGATGGACAAAGGATGACGGCCCAACCCTTTTTTCCTTCCTTTCCTGCCAACAGCTGCTCCTCGCCTCCTTTTTGGATCGACAACCGAACTGCAGGTAGGCAAATCGACTGCGGCTTGCGACTTGGACGGCGGCAGCAAACTGGACGGCTGAGATCTCGACGGCAGCGCGAACTTGAGGCAGCAGCGCACTTCCTCACTGCGGTTCAAGACCCAGCGGCGAACTCAACGGCGGCGGCGACCCCTAGTGCTTGCTCCTCTTGCCGGATCTGTTTGGCGGCGAATCTGAAACGGCGCGGCTTCGCAGCGGCTCCTCAACCTGGCGGCGGCGGAGCTCCTCTGCGTGTAGCTACTTCGACGGCGGCGGTGGTTTGCTCACCCTCTCCGGACAGTGGATATCTGCGGTGAACTCAGCGAGCGGCGGCGGCGATCTGGGACCTCGACGGCGAATGGTTTGTGCGCTGGACGGCGATTGGCGGCTGAGATTCCCGGCGAATCTGTGCGCGGGTCACTCAGCGGCTGCTCCTCAGTTGAACGGCCACACACACGGACGATCTGGATCCCACAGGGTTCTTCACACAAGAACCCTAGGTGACAAATCTTCTCGTAATTTGTGCTCGTGTTGAACGAACCTCGCTCCGATACCACTTGTTGGGGATTAAACACACAACACACACAAATATCTGCGAGAATCAAGAGAGAAACGGAACACAAACGACACACAAGAATTTAACGTGGTTCGGTTTCCCTAATCCACGGCTGCAACAGGAGGATTTTCTTATTTCACTTGTGGTGCCGATTACAAGTACAAGTATGCAATATATATAGGAAGAGTGCATCTAGGGTTTCGTAAAATGGGCCGGGCCAAAAGTCAAGCCCAAGCCTCCACAAACCCAACAACTCTTCCACTAATTTTTAGTCCCACACCGAAACACCTCTTATGCTATTGCCCTCTTGTCTTGCCTCTCCG